GAAGTACTGCTTAGCAATTTGTTGCTCCAGGTCCCCGGGGGCTTTAGGAAAATATCCGAATTATTGAGGAGTAGAAAATCTAGGAAATGCAATAAGGGCACGCCCAGAAGTGGGAACAGAACCACTGCACGGATGATGGGCATACCAGTTCCGCGTAAGAATGCTTGTTCACCATGGTCAGGGCCTTGACAATGTTGCAAAAGCTGCGTGAAATTTCTCTGCTACCCAACGTACAGGCTTAAGAAATCCTGGGGATTGCTTTCTACGATGGCAGCGGCAGCTAGTCCAACTTTACGCCTTTGCCACCTCAACCTTGCTAACAAACCGAAAGATTCCACCCCCCCCCCAAAAAAAAGAATCGTGTAGTTTCCCCAGCAACTTGTCTCAGGACTCATGCAGCCTTGACTCGTAGAGCTCTTGTAGTTGGCCCAAGCGAATGGCACGATCCGGGCCGTGTGAGGCTTGAGCTGACAGAGCTTGCCTGGATGAATCCACCAATGAACCACAGTGGCCGTGTAGACATCTGCGTGGATCATGAATGCTTGGCATTCCAAGAGAACGGCAGCCATCATGCAAAAGCGGGCTCCTTTTCTCAAAAGGGCATCAAGCCAGCGAAGACCATACAAACCCACGGAAGCATCCTCCTGGATGGTCAGCGCTACACCCAGGAGCTCGCAAAGAACAAGCTGGCGCTCATTCAGGCTTTGCCAAATACTTGTCAGAGCCCAGGTGCAAGGTGCAAAAGAAGAGTTGGGGCCCGGAGTGGCGGATTCCTCCTCTACTTGGCCTTTGCGCAGAAATACCGCCCAAGGCACACCCGCTTGGTATCGAACGAGAAAGCTTTGCCTCTGACCCGGCTGGGTGCCCCAAGAAAAGGATGATGATGATGATGATGACGACGCAGGCCCTGAAGATTTGTCGTTGACCCTCTCCACTCTCGCTTTGCAAAGCACAAGTCGATTCATGAGGTGGCAGCTGGCCATCCAGGAGCTTCCGGGCTGCGACTTGGCAAAGTGAGTGGCAGGGGTACCCGACAGGTCCCAGGTCTCAGCATGGCGTTTGCGCTACAGCAGCACCGGTTTGGACTTGCCGGGCTGCCTACTTTGATATGTATGAGTGTGTAGCAGCGCGCGCGAAACCTGATTGCAGAAGCAGGGCAAGCTCTGGAGACCATCGCAGTTTTCATCAAAACCAACGGCAGTGCGCTGTGTAGTAAGGAGTTGGCTGTGGGCGCTTGGCAGGCAGCAGGACAATGGGCCGGGGTCTGCCCAGCTTGCGGAACTGTTCGAGGGCATCTATGACGTCAACGCTGGGCGAACGAACACAATGCCGGTATGAACTTGTGGGTGGCCAAGCTGGCTCCACTCAGCAGAGTGCTACTTGGAGGGCGCAGTGCGCATGGAGAGGACCATACCGGCTGTGACCACGATCGATTCCAAAGATTACATGCTTCATGCAATCGTAGACAGCCAGAAAAAGTAACCAGAGTGCCGCCTCTTCATTCTACGTTCGGCAACTGCGAGGAATTCTCGGACGCTGAGCTGGATGCTCTCCGCTCAGCACTAGAACTCCTTGTCCTTGTCCCACGAGGTTCTGATGTCCCTGGGAGAAAGATTCAATCTACATGCTTGTGAGCAAGGTGGCCTGATTTCCAGAAGACTTCGCACAGCCGCACAGCTCCAAAAGATCTCTCGGAGTCTTCGGAGTCTTGGCCCGAGCCGCGCACGAATCCGGAGAAGCTTCAACGGCTTCAACGTAGCCAGATTCAACATGATTCGACACTCCGATGCTCACGAGATTTCTCCGTCCGTTCGGGGAGACTAAGACATGGCTCCATGGCTTCATGTATACGCGCAGCAAGTACAGGGGAGGTCGCGTCCAGAATCTGGGAAGCAGAATGCTGGTGTTAAGCGGCTTCCAGACAATCATTGAGGTTGCAAGTTTGCAAGAGCTCCGCTGCCCAGAAGCTTGATAGTGCGTGCCGACATCTTCCGTTTCGTTAAGAGGAATCATTTGTGGGTGCAAGATGTGCTTTTCCGGGCCGAGAATCGTTTCGTGCCTGCGGTTCCCACAGGAGACTCTGGTTTGGAGCCGGGAAAGCAGTTCAATAATCAGCAAGGCGCTTGCGCTACAGCAGCTACATGCTATGTAATCGCACGTGTGTGAGAAATAACAAGGGATCCCTTGTTATGTGCTACCTGTGCGTGTTTAGGCCCAAAGTCTGTAGATTTTCTAGCTATGGCAGCCTGCTGAATAGGCAAGCGTACCTGGCTGCAAGTCATTCCTTCAGTGCTTTGTGCCGGGCGAACAGGAAACCACTGACATCACACAGGTGCACCATATGCCTTCTGTCTTGCCACTGCCAGCTGAACTTGCTGCTCTTGATATGCTGGATAAGATTGTGCAGTGCGTATCTTCTCGCAATTGCCTCAATAACACCAGCCGAGTCCATCTATTTGGCGTTGGCGTGGAGGGTGGCCAGGCAAGCCTTCCAAATGCCATATGTGGACCCGTTGGCGGATCCGACCCCGCAAGTGCTCCTACCGCTGGCGGTTCACAAGCAACAGTGATGGCAAGCCCAGCAAAGAGGGTCAAGTTCTCATCAGTGATCGACCAGCTGGACGAAACAGAGACCAATACAATGTCCCAGAAGGAGCTGGACCAGGCGTATGCGAATCACATAGAAATCAAAGGAGCGGAGCCCCCATCAGAGGCGGAGCCTACTTCGGATCAGATAGCCGCGCTCAAGCAGAGGGTGGTAGACAGAATCTTCAGTGTGCTAACGCCCTTTGGAAGGAGGCTGCAGAAACAGATGAAGGCCAGATCTTGGGTTTTGCAGTCAGACGGTACGTTCAAAGGCCTCGACATCCCGGGCCCTCCCAGCTTCGACGCATGGGCGGCGCGCTGGAAAGTCTACAGGTCAGCCCTCTTCGTGCTCAGGTATCCTCCAGATGCTCCCGGGCAGAATCCAAAACAAGTTGTGACCGCAGCTGCCTTAAAGGAATACTCGGATCGCATTTCAAAACTGATTGCGGAGTTTCCCGAGACATGGCACTTGGTGATGCAGTCCGAGGATCGTTGCCGTGGAGAAATGTTCGAGAGATACCGGAGGCAAGCGGCAACAGGGCGACTTCCCATGGCCATCGATTTCGATGGTGCAACCCCCCTGGACTGGTGTATTCATCTATGCGGCCAGGGACATAGACTGCTGGAACGAGCATGTAGTCCGCCCTGCGCAGAACTTTATCGCAAGGGGAGGGAGGTTCATGTCCCAGCAAAAGGCCGAGGATGTCAATGTGCCGAGCGGATCCAAGCAGGCTTTGGCAAACGCTGCTGCATCAAATCCTGTTGTGCCCCCGCCTCCCCCTGCGCCACCAGGACTTGGGCAATCCCGAGGTGCAAAACGGAGGCGGAGCCAAAAGGAGAAGATGGCTCAGATTAAGCGCGCTGCAAGCCCAGAGTGTGACGCAAAGGGTAGAAGTGGGACATCCGAAGAAGTGGGGCAACATGTATGTCTCTAACCAAGATGGCAAGGAGCTCTGCTTTCGTTTTTCAAAGGGCGGCCCAAACGCTTGCCGGGAGCCGTGCAAGGATGGACGAATCCAAGGGTGCCAATACTGCCTGGGAAAGCACCCAAACTCACAGTATACATCACCCCTTGCTCAACAGGCCAAAGGAGACGGGCAGCAAGGGGCCGGGGAAGGGCAAGTGACAGGACCAAGTCGGCCTGACGCTGGGCCCGTCTCAGGCTCCTTCTGCCACTCTGTCACCGGAACCTGTTGTTCAGCAAGACGAAGTGTCGCAGTTTGCCCCCCGACAGTTTGTGTTTCTAGAACTCTTTGCAGGTCATGCTGGTTTCTCGAAAGCAGTGAAGGATGTTGCTGGAGATGTGGCCGAAGTGATGGAACCGCTGGACGGCTACTACAACTGGGACATCTTTGTCTGACGCGGACTTCGAGAAGGCCAAAGAAGCGGTCAAACGAGTGGACCGCACTCACTTGGCGTTCATGTGCAAATCCTTCACTCTTGCGAGAAGGACAGACAGTCACGGGGCGGTGGACATCATCAGGTCAGACCGGCATCCGTTGGGATGGGGGCATCCGCTGGCGGAGCAGGTCAACAAGCTCGCGGAAAGGGTGGCGGCCTTGCGTCATATCATCCTGGAGGCGGGGGGCTCCTTCTCTCTGGAACATCCGTGGGATTCGTTTGCCTGGGACCATCCGGCTCTTCGGAAGATCCTCAAAGTGGACGCGGTACTCCTCAACCAGTGTGCGTATGGAGCAGAGTCAGTAAAACCCACTGCCATTGTTTCAAATGCCAGGTGGATTCTCACAGTAAAGGGGATGTGCAAGGAGGTGGCCCCGCATTACCACCTCAAGCGCGGGCTCACTGGCAAGGTCTTCGATCCCAATGTCACCAAAGTTCTGGATGCCATGGTTTTGAGTTTTGACCCCCACGTCTGAAACCAACCACGCCCGGAGCGCATCTGCCCAACTCCAACAGAGACCTGCCGGATATTCTGCTGCAAGGGATGTTCGCCATACCTGCTCGCCGAAGATCGGCAGGTTCAACAACACCCTCGTGCAGCTCGACCAGTACATGAGAGGCATGGAAATGCAGAGGCAAGCTCCTCTCCCCGAATTCAAGGGGACAAAGGCAGAACGACGGCAGAGAGAGAACGCGGTTGCCATCGGTGGCCTACGGGACCCCAGACGAGCTGTTGCTAGATCATGCACTTTGAGACAGACAGGAGCCAAAATCCGCAACGTGATTAATGAGTTCTTGTCTGATGAATTAATTGCAAGCTTTGATAATGCGAATGGGGTTTGTCCTTTCTCGTCAGAGTTGCTCATGGCAGCCCGGCAAAAGTTGGCGCGCGTCTTCGGCGCAGAGCCAAACGCGGAGGGCTACCAAACCAACCTCTTCAAACAGATCCTCTTTGAGGCGGATGACCCCGACCGCAACACCATTCCGGATTGGCTTGAGTTTGGCTTCCCTCTTGGCATAAATGAGCAAATTGTGAACAACGGCATCTTCCCTGATCGAAACAGACAGTGTGTCAGCCTCCATCAAAGCGTCCCAAACTCTAGGCATTTTGCTTGAGGACTGGGATGGCAGTGCGAAGAACTACAAATCGTTTGAGGAGTCAGGTGCAAAAGGGCAAGCTGAACTCGACAGACTCGTGGAATGCGGCCGTGCAACAAAGGTTTGTTCCTGGGGTGAGGTTGTTCAACTTGTTGGGGAGGGTGCCAAGCTTACTAAGCTCGCCTGCATCATCAAACACAAGGATGGTGCAGAGAAGGTCAGGCTCGTAGTGGACATGTGCAGGAGCGGCGTCAACGGTCTCATGATGCTCAAAGAGAGGGTGATTTTCAGACGTGGCCGAAAGCGTGCATGCCTTGTTCCTCAAGAATGGTAGAAGCTCCAACATTGCATTTTTCATCAGTGATTTCAAGGATGCCTTCTACACACTTCCGCTAAGAGCCTCCGAGCGCAAGTTCGCAGTGGTTAAAGGGGGTCTTTCCACATTCTATTTGATCCATGTCGTGAGCTTCGGTTTTGCGCGCGGGCCAGTGTTGTGGTGCAGGCTTGCAGCGTGCTCCAATCGCATAGCGCAGGCCACCATTTCAGATCATGAGGGCAGGGTTCAAACCTTCGTGGGCGATCCCATCATGGCTGCATGCGCTCCCTCCAGGTTTGAAAGAAGCGTGATTTTTTGCAGGTACACCTTCATGTGGGCTTTGAAATCGCTTGGCATAAGTGTCGCAGGGGAACTCGGGTGTGCTGGATCGGTGTGCAACTTGAGCTGCTTCCCTCTGTCCTTAAAGTTTCCCTTAGCCCTGAAAAGACCGAGAAGCTCCATGAGATGTTCCTCGAAATCCGACAATTTCAAAACCTCATTCCAACTCGTACCCTTCACAAAGCTGGAGGTGTGCTGGGATGGATCGCAAACCTTATCCCGACGGCAAGACCTTGGTCATCCATGCTGTGGGCCGCAGTGTACGCCTCAGAGTCTTCCAAGCTCCCAGCCAAGCTTTCAACCCGCGTGAGGAAAGGGCTCACCGTTACACGCCAAGTTGAACATGCACTTCAGTGGCTAGAAGGAATGCTCAAAGCTAAAGCAGGGACTGGGCCCAAACTGGAGCACATCTACCGGTGGAGTGAGCGTGCCCCAGTTCTTGAGCTCCACACGGATGCATGCCCTACAGGTATTGGGGGTGTATTGTACGTTGCACCGAGACTTTGGAGAGAAGGCATGGGTATCGTCTTCAGCCAGAGGACCCAAGTGGGCAAGACCCAACCTGGCTAATGCCATCAGCATAGCATCATCACATGAGCACATGATTGTGGCCAGAGAAAATTACCAGAAGTTGCCTCTGGCACCCGTGCGGCAAAGGATTCGCGCATTTCAGTATGGGCCGAACACTGCAAATCTAGAAATCTGCCCGACATGCCAATGTCTCCACTCAGCATTCAAGAAGTTGGGTCAATAATGCGCCTTGCTGGATACAGATCCGCTTACTCTTATTTGTCAGACGCGAAGCTCGTGCACATTCGCAAAGGCTTCGCATGGAGCGATGCCTTGGAGCTCGCTATGCCTGATGCCAAAAGAGCTCTCACAAGAGGGGCTCGGAGGGGCCTCAAAGGCTGAGGAGATGCGGCTTGAGTGGCTATCAGCCCTGCCAGTGGTTGCTAGGGATGACTGCAGACTCCCAAGGGGGGGGGCCTCTAGCGTGGGCGTTTGGCATGCGTTTCTTGCTAAGAGAAGTGGAGCTCGCATTGACTGTCATCGCAGACCTGCTGATTGATTGGGCAACAAAACGTGTTACGTTGCTTGTGAGCAAGACGGACATCCGCGCTGCAGGCTGCCGAAGGACGCTGGCATGTTGTAGGCCCACCTGTGTGGAAGAACGCGAGGGCCTCACATGCCCGTTCTGCGTGGCAGTGATGGCCATGCGTACTCAAAGTACACTGACAGGGGTTACATTGTCAATGGAGGAAGCCAAGGAAGTCCCTCTGTTCGGCCAACAGGGCGACCCTTTCAGCGTCGTCGAGAAGGAGATGGTTGTTGAGGCTGCCAAACAAGATGCGGCATGGCTTGCCTGAGGCGACGTCCATGAATCCGGCTCAGATCACAGGACACTTTATGCGACGATCCGGCTGCAAACGGCTGGCTAGAGAAGGCGTCCCTAGAGATGCCAGAAAGCATCTGGCTCGGCACAGCTGGTCGGCCGTAGATGGCTACATAGAGGAAGCTGCAGAATTGCACCTGGCGCCCACATCTGGGCGCAAGAACGCATAGACACCGCCAGACAGCTGGAAGACCTTCGCAAAGAGCAAGAGCAAATCAAATGCAAGTTGTCGTCACGAGAGAAGCTGACATGGAAGGAGAAGGATCTCCGCGATTGTGTGGAGAGGATCGTGGAAGAGCAAGACCTGAACGGTAGGCCCATCCATGCGGATCATGTCGAGCAGCTCATAGCGAAGGGAGCCAGTGCTGCCGTAGCCAAAGCCGTGAATCCATCATTTGTGTATAATGTTCGCACGAGGAAGCTTCATAGAATTGCCCAGTGTCATGTGCAGATCAGTCCAGAGAGTTGGACAACCTTTTGCGGATGGCCATGGAACGCATCCAGCAGCACGTGTAGAGTTCTCATGAGTGAAGCGGAGGCCCCAGAGAACCATGTGGTCTGTGACAAGTGCAGCAGACACAAGTGATAAAATGTGTCCGAAGTCAGTGGCTGAAGTAGTTGGTGTCTGAGTATGGGGGCACGTTTCCTGGCAAAACTGGGCCAAGGCCGGACATGTCGAGGAGTCCGAGGGACTCCGGAGACAAGTACGGCGGGCATCCAGACTTGCGCGACGCCCTCAGCTAACTGACCGTGCACTTCAGCCACTCTTGTGAGTTAAAAGGGCTGTCCGCTTTTGTTTCTCTTTTGGGTGGTAGGGAAGGGGGCTTGCTGTGCACGCACTTGTTTTTGCAGCTTGCGCAGGCACCATCCCACATCCAGCATCCAGAGCTCTTGACACGAAACGGCTCCAGCGCTGACTTGCTTGTTCTGCTGCATTTGCCAGCGTCAAGATCTGCATATATTTGCATGCGCAAGTATCATGCCAGACATGCAGCATGTAGAAGTTGGAGGAGAAGTCACAGCAAAAGCTCCAACGGGTCAGCACAGCACTTCAATTCCATCTGATGTCTATTCCAGCCTAGCATGAGACATGAGCAGTGATAGTCCTGCAGCGTGGACTGCAAGAAGCGTGTCTTGCAGAAACGTTGAGCCCTTTGAAGCTTCTGGTGGGTTTTCTGACGGCTGGCTTGGAGCTGAGTAAGTGCTTATTGTCATGATCCGGAGCGTAGGGCACAGAAGCCAGCAAGCCAGCTAGAGCGTCGCATGGCCAAGGCCTAATGCGCTTCAAGTGGCTGGCTGGGCACCGAGATTGAACGCCAAAGGGGGAAAAAGAGAGCAACCAATCTTTTTTGTGTGGATCTAAAAGGTGCCATGCGTGCCTTGTGCCTGCTTGGCGGCCCTGACCTCATCATGTTTCATGTGTTAACGTTGGCCAGAGGATGTGTCGCCGTGGTCAGGCTCCGAGCAGCTCTGCACATCCTTCTGGGATCCTGGGCTCGGGCTGCATCCTTGAAAAACTCTCTGGAAAAGTTTTCGCGTAATCATTTATGCTCCGCTAGTTGTCCAGGGTGTAAGTTCGCTTCGTATTCATGATGACTATACAAACGGAGAGTGCGAGTCATTAATTATGATTGGCAGGTCGCAGAGCCAAGTGTTTGATTCATCTTTAGCGGCGGCCTTCGTGCGCCGTCGGGTCCAAATTTTCTGGGCTCCGATTCCTCCCATCCATGTCAGAGCCAGCTAGTCTTCCACGTGACTACTGACCATGTGTATCGTTGGAGGCACCCAGGCCCAGATGTTTCGGTCAAGGGTCAGATTCCAAAGCCTTATTTGAAAGCTCGCCTTGGAAACTTGTTCTTGCCATGTCTGGACAGGCATGCAGCCAAAGAGTTGAATATTTGGGGCAGGCAAATTGGGTGGCGCTGCCTGGTTTTCACCACGTTAAAGACAGGGCTTATTTTGCTGCTAGTTTTGCCGCCAATTGTCGGCTGATTTTTTAACGATTATTTTTGCGACTGAGAAAAATTGGCGCAAAATCGGCGGTGTCTAAATGGGGTGGTTTTGAGGCCTTGGGCAGTACAGCCAGGGGGCAGGTTCTAGAGCAAAGGCAGGGGAGAAAGATCACCCTGCCAACAGAGAGACTTTGTGCTGTGTATAGGGGCTGCGAGGCTGGAGGGTTGTTCGGATCGCACATGGCCGCATTCCTTACGTAACGGGATTCAAGGTGCTATGCCTGCTATGCGCTGTTTGAAATCTTTGAGCGTAGAAGAATCATACTCGCTTCCTTCAACTCAGATAGGAAGGTTTGGTGGTCCGTGGACATTGCTAAG